TGACGGGCACGAGGGACGCGACGACGGGCCCGGACGTGCGCTGCCGGAGCACGAGCCAGGAGATGTAGACCGTGAAGAGCGGCGCCGTCGACTTGATCGTCTCCGTGAACGACGCGGCGACGTGCGACAGCGACACGAGGCCGAGCAGCACCGTGAGCCCCCGCAGCGCGCCCATGGCCAGCAGCGTGCTCCGGAGCGGCGCGGCCGGCGGCGCCTCCTCGCAGACCGCGGCCTCCACGCGCTCCAGCGTCTCCAGGTGGCCCTCGGACGACGCGGGCTTGAGCGCCGGCTCGCGGCGCCCCGCGGCGTAGACCTTGGCCGCGCCGAGGAGCGCCGTCGACACCATCTGGCAGACGCCGAGCGCCTGCGACGTCAGCGCCGTGTCCGTGAGGATGACCTTGTTGAGCACGAGCGTGCCCAGGCTCGTCGCGTACCACGCGCCGAGCCACAGCACCGTCGAGAAGGCCATACGCCGCGCCTCCGGGTCCGCCGCCGCGGCCCTCGGCCGCCGGCGCCAGCGCGGCAGCGGGGCCGCGCTCTGCCGCGCGTGCCGCTCCATGAGGCGCCGGCGCGCAGGCCTATGCAGAGCCGGGCGTGCAGGCCTATGCAAGCTCAGAAGGCCATCAGAGCCGGGCGTGCAGGCCTATGCAAGCTCAGAAGGCCATCATCACAACTTTTTCACCTCGACTGTGGCTAAAAGAGCAGATCAAGTTGAACTGCGCCTTCGCTCCGGGGCAGCCCATCTCAAACCGGGCGCCAACCGAGATGCCGACGGAGGTCGACGCCGCGTCGATCCCCGACGAGCCGCCGCCGCCCGCGGAGAAGAAGAAGGCGAAGAAGAAGAAGTCGGAGAAGGACCCCCACAAGAAGAAGAAGCTCAAGAAGAAGAAGAAGGACGCCGCGGACTTCGCCGCCGCCGCTCCGGGCCCGGCGCGGCTGAGCGCGCGCGCGCGCGCGCGGCTGCTCTGCCGCGTCATGGAGCTGCGCATCTCCATCACGCGCTACTACTCCCAGGAGGCCCAGTACATGGACCGCGTGCGGAGCCGCGTCGCGATGCACCTCGGCGCGTACCAGGGTAGGAAAAGAGTGATTCAAGTTCGCTTCAACATGAGTGTTCCGCACGCGCGCGTCCCGGAAAAATCATCCACGCGTCGAGAGCGCTCCGAGAGATAATCGCTCGTCCAAGAATTAGCCGAAACGAGTGGAAAATAACCGAGATAGGAGCCTTTGAAGTTGGGAATTTCGCACTCTTTTCCTGCCCAGGCGCGTACCACGAGAGCGAGGAGTGGCGCTACGGCCGCAAGGTGCTGAGCGCGCTCGACTCCTTCGCCGTGCCCCGGGAGACGCCCGACGAGCTCCGCCACGACCTCGACCTCCTCCACAAGCTCGAGGCCGCGCTCGACGGCGGCGCGCCGTCGGACGCCGCGCTCGACGACGACGACGTCCCCGACGACGACCTCCCCGAGCTCGCCATCTGCCTCCGCGAGGAGATCGAGACGCTCCGCGGCTCCGTCGAGGACGCCAAGCGCCAGATCGCCGCCCTCGAGGCCCGCGCCGCGGGGCTCCCCGCGCCGCCGCCGTCCGCGCGGCGCGGCGGCGACATGCCGCCCGCGCCGCCGGGCGCGTAGCGGCGGGGCGACGCGGGGAAGGGTACGTTCTGCGGACACGCCCAGGGGCCTCGGAGCGCTGGGTCTCGAGCGGCTCCCACGCACTGATGATCTCCGTCCGCGGCCCGCTTCAACGTGAATGATGCCGTCCCGAAGCCGAAGCGCTCCCTGTTGCCGACGTGCGGAGCGCCTCTGTGGACGTCGAGAGCGCAGGGAGTTGGACGCCCTCCCAAGCACCCCGGAACTACCCCAGCGACTTCCCTGGCGACTTCGACCACACGCCCGGCCCCAACCTCCCGAAAAAGCATGGAGCACTCCCTCATGACGAGCCTGCCGTCGGACTTCCTGACGTCGGGCCCCGTGGCCCAGTTCCTCGGGGACCTGCCCTTCAACCCGTCCCTCGCGCGCCTCACGCTCACGTGCCGCGCCCTCTTCCACTCGCGCGTGGCCGCGGGGAAGCGCGTCGCGGGCCTCGCGGCGCGGGCCGCGGCGGCGACGCTCGACCGCCGCGTCGTGCTGCTCGTCGTGCACACGCAGGAGCGGCGGGCCGGGGCGGGCAAGGGCGCGATCGTGGACCTGCGGCAGAACTTCCTCATGAACATCACGTCGACGACGGACCTCGCGCACGTCTACGGCGCCCTCGACAAGCGGCTCCGCGTGTCCGCGAACGCGATGACGCAGTGCAAGCGGCCGCGGCCCTGCGGCCAGGCCGTGGCGTTGGGCTACACGTCCGTGCGGCCGAGCCGGCTGAAGCTGTCGCGCCGCGACACGGGCGCGCCCCTGGGGCGGTCCGGGCCCTGCGCGCCGCTCGTCGACGACGCGACGGACCTCGACGGCGCCGCGTCGCGGGCCTTCCACGCGAACCTGCACCTCGAGGCGGACCAGCTCGCCATGGCGCACCTCGGCGGCGGCTTCGTCGACGACTCCTCGGACGACGAGGACGACGACCCGGCCATGGCCGAGGACCACACGGACGACGACGACGAACCGGACGCGCGGAACTAGTAGTAAGGCCACTCCCTCGGAAATTTCCACCCGCCGCGGGTTCGGCGCTAGGTTTTTAGGCTGAGGGGCTTCGACGCGTTGGCCTCGTCGTCGCCGAGGTCGTCGAGCGCGATCTGGCTCGCCTTGGGCTGCATGACGGGGTGGGACTTCGTGAGCTCGAGGCCCGTCATGGAGCGCCAGCGGCGCTGGAGGAGGCCCCGGTACTCGAAGCCCTTGGAGTCCGTGAGGATGGCGCCGGCCTCCTCGAGGACGTTCGCCTGCGTCGCGCGCGCCGCGGACACGCCCTTGTTGAAGGCCCACTTGCCCTTGGCCTCGCGGCGCCAGACGCCGTGCATGGCCTCGTTGGCCTCGAGGAGCGCGATGCGCCGCCGCTTCTCCTCCTCGATCTTCGCCGCGACGTCGATCTTCGCCGCGGGCTCGTTGCGCTTCGCGTTCCGCGCGCGCGTCGCCTCGGCCCGCGCGGCGCGGCGCCGGAGGATGGACTCGTGGATGGCCTCCTTCTTGCGGGCGAGCTCGGCCCGGAGCTTGGCCTCCTTCTCCGCGGCCTTCTTGTCCTTCTCCGCCTGGAGGATGAGCTCCGTCTCCTTCTTCTTCTTCGCCTGAAGGAGCGCTCTGACGTCCTCCGTCTCCGCGACGTCGATGGCCGACGGCGCCTGGATGGAGAGGAAGACGAGCTCGCGGCGCACGCGCGCCTTGTTCTGGAGGAGCTTCGACACCATCTTCATGTTGCCCCAGGAGCTCGCCATCTCGAGCGGCGTGTGGCCGCCCTTGTCGACGGTGTTCACGTCCGCGCCGTTGTCGATGAGCCACTGGACGAGGTGGAGGTGGGCCTTGGCGCGGGGCTCCGGGGCGTTGAACATGCAGGCCGTGCCCAGCGAGTTCTGGCCGAGCTCGTTGAGCTGGTTCGGGTCCGCGCCCGCGCGCCGGAGCATGCGCGCGAGCTTCAGGTTGCAGTAGCGCGCCGCGTAGTGGAGCGGCGTGTTCCCGTAGTCCTCGGAGTTGCCCACGCGCGGGTCGCCGCCCTCGTTGAGGAGGCCGTGGATGTCCATGAGCGACGGCTTCGCGTCGTTGCACTCCTCCGCCAAATTGCCGCCGTACTCGTCCTTGTAGGGCGGGCCGTAGTGGACGAGGAGCTTGTAGGCCTTGGTCTTGTGCTTCTTCACGAGGTGGAGCACCTGCTGGAGCTTGGACATGCGGTCCCACTCGTACTTGAGCCGGAGCTCCTCGTCGTGGCGCTTCTGCTCCTCGGAGAGCTCCTTCTCGCCCGTGTCCTGGAGCACCTCGACCTTCGTGCCCACGCGGAAGCCGACGTTGTCGCTCCCGAAGTGGTGCGACGCGACGCTCGACGCGACGCTGCTCTCGTCGTCGTCGCCGCCGGACGTCGCCGTCGTGCCGCCGACCGTCGACGCGTCCGCGGCGCCGGGCACGCGCAGGCGCGCCTCGGGCACGTGCTTCTCGTCCTGCTTGAACTCGTCGTCGTAGGAGACGTCGTACTCCTTCTTGGACTTGTCCGCCTCGACGATGACGCCCGGGAGCCACTCGGCCGCGCGCGTCCGCTTCGCGCCGGAGCCGCCGAGGTCGCCGCCGGCGACGGGCAGGTCCGTGATGAAGCTCCCGTCGTCGGCGAGGGAGCCCATGGACGCGTCGTCGCCGCCGTCCGTGTCCATGTACTCGGGGCCCCGGTCCTTGCCGTCGGCGCCGTTCTTCGTGTAGAAGACGGCCATGGACTCCTTGGACTTTTTGTCGTCGGGCTCGCCGGGCGCCTCGGACGCCTTCTTCGACGCCTCGGCGGCGCCGTCCTTCTTCTTGCCAATCGACGGGAGGAAGCCCATCGTCAGCTGTGCGTATAAGCTACGAGCTAGGCGGGGCTGCCGGCGCCATCGTGTATCGTTGGGGTCAACGTCTCGACAAGGTCGACGGTGAGGCGCGTCGTCACGACGGCAGGCGATGGCGTCAATGCATCGACTGCATCGCGTCGTGCTTTTGGCAGCAGTCCTGCGCGCGTCGTGCCTGGCGCCCGTGCCGCGGCGCGCCGCCCCGTCGCGCGCGCCCGGCGCGGCCACCGTCGCGCGACGAGCGCCGCGGCCCAGTCCGCTCGCCGACGGCCGGCGAGCGCCGCGGCTAAATCGCGCCGCCGGCCCGTTCCGGCCGGCGCCCCTCCTCGCGTCGTCGCCCGAGGCGAGCGACGACCTGGCGCCGGCGTCGCCGCTGCTCGCCGTGCTGTCCGTCGCCGCCGCCGCGGCCTTTGGCCTCGGCGTCTACGCGGCGCGCGGGCCCGAGGCCGCGCTCGAGTTCAGCGCGGGCTACGTCGTCGAGCAGTCGCTGTCCGTGGACAACCTGCTCGTCTTCCTCGTGCTCTTCGACTACTTCCGCGTGCCCGCGGGCCCCATGCAGGACAAGGCGCTGGCCTACGGCCTGTACGGCGCCGTCGTCTGCCGCGGCGTCTTCGTCGGCCTCGGCGCGGTCGCGCTGGCCAAGTTCCGCGTGGTGCTCCTCGCCTTCGCGGGGCTGCTGATCTTCACGTCGGCGAAGATCCTCCTGCTGGAGGAGGGCGACGGCGACGAGGACGTGTCCGAGAACGCGGTCGTGCGACTCGTGAACTCGCAGTCGGTCTTCCCCGCGACGGACGCGTACGACGCCGACGACCCGTCGAACTTCTTCACGCTGGGCGCCGACGGCGTGAAGCGCGCGACGCCCCTGCTCGCCGCCGTCGCGTGCCTCGAGCTCAGCGACGTCGTCTTCGCCGTCGACTCCGTGCCGGCCGTCTTCGGCGTGACCGAGGACCCGTTCCTCGTCTACACGTCGAACATGTTCGCGATCCTCGGGCTCCGGGCCTGGTACGGCGTGTTGTCCAAGGCCGCCGACGACCTCGCCTACCTCGAGAAGGCCGTCGCGGTCGTGCTCGGCTTCGTCGGATTGAAGCTGGGCTTCGGCTACTTCGGCTACGAGATCGAGACGGGCCAGTCCCTCGCCGTCATCGCGACGGTCCTCGGCGCGGGCATACTCGCCTCGATCTACTTCCCGCCCGACGAGGGGGAGGAGTCGCCATAACTCGCGCTTATTAGGAACACGCGTGTTTGCGATACAAGTTGAAGCCTGGTTGCAGAGCTGGTTGAGGCTGAGCCGCGAGCTCTGAGAGCGCAGGGCACCGCCGCAGCGTGTTGCGCTTCGAGACGGCGCGATGGGCGCGCACTACGTCTGCACGACAGCCGAAGGCATCGCCGACGTCATCGCGCGGACCGCGCCACCGCCTGAACCGCCTCTAGACTTCCCCGACGATCCGTTTTGTGAATATGAAGATGACCGAGACCGGGCTCTCTTTCTGGAGCGGGTGCTACGCGTCTGTGACTGCTTCGCGTTCCTTCGGCTCCGCGACGAGTTGCGCCGCGAGGTCTTGAGCTATGTAGTCGAGGTTACCAAGGACGTCGCGCTGCGGCGCATCGAGGCCGTAAAAGAGAAGAGCCCAGTATCGGACGAGAACTGCGAGCCACTGTGTCAGACCGTGACTTTTGCACCGGGCGGCAAGAAGGTTCTCCTGCCGCTAGCGGCATCCGCGGCCTCATCCCTCGACACCCTGCGCTGGGGCCTCGCCACGACGCCCGCGGTGTGCACGGCGCTTCGTGCGGATATCGAGGCCATCGTCCGGCGGTCGGGATCGACGGCGAGCAGTCGCGCCTGGCTCGAACACCTCTACTGCCGGCGGGACGACGCGCTCGATGCGGCGGCTGTCGTCGACCAGCTGCGCGCGCGCGCTAAGCTCGGTCGGCGCGCGAACACGGTGCGGGAACTGTACGCGCGAGGCGCGGAGGCCTTTGCCATTCAGACCGCGAATGACTCCCACCGCCGCGACTTTCGCGGCCACGGTGGCGCGGGTACCATGATGTTCCAGTTCCCATCAAACCGGGCCGACGAGCGGCGGAAATTAGCGAAAAAACTTCTCCCGAACGCGATGGCGAACGTATCACTGCGTGAAACCGCACTTCGCGGATACGACCATGACGAACAATGGGACGACCATGACGAACAGTGGGCAAGTGGCGTCCCCGAGGCGGGACCCGCACTCGCCCACGGCCGCGTGCTGACAGTCGACGAAGCCAATAACAACATGCCCTGCGATGTTGAGCTACTGGAAACGCTGGCCGATGCTGCCATTGGAAGCGTTGTCGACTCGCTCAGTCAAGCCGGGCGTATCACGCTGGTGGTGAATGCGGTAACAATCCTGTATCGCGGAGCAGATGGGTCGCGCCCGTCCGATGCGGATTTCGACGCCCTCGATTCCGCGCTAGACGAATTCTTCGGCGAAATCTCTACACGAGGTGAGCATTGGATCACCGCGTGGACGAATATCCATCCTAGGGACCTGCACGATGACCAACTTCAGAAGAGTCGTAAGATCGCTCGGTTCCACGACCCCGCACGACCACCGATCACGGCGCTGCGAGACATATACTCTGCGTCAGAAGATCTTCCTCTCCTTGGTCTTGCACTCACGCGACATATGCTCGACAGCAAGTGCGTCTCCCTCGTCGACGTCGATATTGCTGACGGTGCCGTGTCCGTCCCGCAAGACTCGGGGGCAGAAGACTTCTCCGTCGCTGAGAAGTTCTCCTCACCTTATCGCTTCATTGATCCTGGCGTCGTAGCCAAGTGCCATACCGGCAGCTTGCAATACCAAAACGCCGCCTTGAAACTGCAGACGAACAAACTCTTCAGGGACAAAATAGTGAGCAGTGGCATCCTCTTCCTTGACCTTGTGCCCGACGTCTTCGTCGCCAAGCTCCGGGTCTTTATTCCCGGGATGAACTAATCTCGCCGACGCTCGTAAGAACGTTGGTAAGAATCCCCCCCTTTACTCCGCGGGCGTGCCGTCGCAGAGCACCGCGGCCGTCGCCGTGAAGCCGTGGAGGTAGGTGGGCGTCGGGCCGCCCGACGCGACGCGCGCGCCGACGGGGCCGAGCTCGCCGTTGGCGAAGAAGCCGCAGACCGGCGCGCCGAGTTCCGAGAGCGCGTCCGTGTCGACGTTGGCCTCCTCGAAGAGGCCCTCGCCGCGGCCCGCGCAGCTCGTGAGGAACGAGAGGAGCGGCCTCGCGCCGCCGCCGGAGAACTGGCGCTCGAGCGCGTAGCGCCGGAAGACGCTCTCCAGGTCCTCGCGCGCGGCGACGCCGTCGCGGACCATGAACTGGAGCCGCGTCTCGCCGGCGACGATCGACGGGTCGCCGATCAGCAGCTCGCCCGCCGTCGTCGCCCCCAGCACCTGGCGCACGAGGAAGTCCTCCTCGTCGGTCGCCCGGACCCCCACCAACAACGCCTCCTGGAGGAGCTTGGCGGACCGCGGGTCCGTCTTCGACAGCGCCTCGAGGAGGGTCCGGAGCCGGTCGACGGGCGTCTCGCCGTCGAGCGCGCCGACGACGTTGCCCGCGGAGCTCGACGTCACGGTCATGGGCTCGCCGACGCCGACGGCGCCCTGGGCCGTGACGCTGTGCACCGCGAGGTTGGGGCCGCGGAGCGCCAGCCCCAGCGCGCTTCCACGCCCCACGCGGTGCGACGTGCCGACCTCGCGGAGCGCGAGCGACGCGGTCCGCTGCGAGGCGGGGCACGAGATGCCGCCCACGACGAGCGCGCCGGGCGCCCAGGCGTCGAGGAGCTTCGCGACGTCGCGCACGGGGCTGAAGGGGTCGCCGAAGAGCAGGCAGCTCGTGCCCTCGCGCTTCACGAGGCGCTCCGTCTGCCGGTAGTCCTCCGCCGGCAGCTCGCCGCCGCCGGGGCTCTCGAAGACGAAGGGCTCGACGACCGTGCCCGCGGGCAGCGTGCCCGCGGCGACGCTCACGCACTCGGCCATCTCCCGCTCGCGGCCGCCGCCGATGACGCCCGCGCCGACGACGCCGACGAGCACGCGCGCGCGCGTGCGCTCGAAGGCCTCGTCGACCAAGGCCTCGAGGCTGCTCTCGAACGGCATGCCCACGCAGAGGAACGCCAGGTCCGGCACCGGCGCCTCGGCGCCGCGCTCGAAGGCCAGCAGCGTGAGCGCCTCGTCGAGAGCGCCGCTGGCGTCGTTGGGCTTGACGCTCGAGAGCGCGCTGTGGAAGGCGGCGAGGCTCGTTGCGGGCGTTGCCAACAGGCTGATTCCTAGGCAGCAGCGCAGGAGTTTGGCCATGCCAGCGCGGCGGCGCTTAATTACCACGGTCATCATGCCTCGCTCAAACATCGGCTGCGAAGAGCACCTTGCCGGCTGGCGCAATGGTCAGGTTTTGAGATATGCGACGCAATTTCCTGGCCTCTCTCACGCTCCATACCTCACTCTCCTTCCAGCTCCAACGACGAAGCGCCGCGATGGTCAACGTCGTCGACATCGAGGACGCCTACAAGACCTACGCGCTGCGCGACGCCGCCGCGACGACGAAAGATCTCCTGAAGTGGTGGGACAGGGGCCACCGGTCCATGCCCTGGCGCCGCGAGTCGACGGAGCCCGTGAGCGCGGCCGAACGGACGACCTGGGCCTACCGCGTCTGGGTGAGCGAGGTCATGCTCCAGCAGACGCAGGTGTCGCGCGTCGCGCCGTACTTCGAGCGGTGGATGGCCAAGTGGCCCGACGTCCACGCGTTGGCGGCGGCGCCCGAGGAGGACGTCCAGGCGCTCTGGAGCGGGCTGGGCTACTACCGGCGCTGCAAGTTCCTCCGCGAGGGCGCCGCGGCGCTCGCCGCGCCGGGCGCCCAATGGCCGACGACGCGCGCCGACTGGCTCAAGGTCAAGGGCGTCGGGCCCTACACGGCCGCGGCCGTGTCGTCCATCGTCTACGGCGAGGCCTGCCCCGTCGTCGACGGCAACGTCGTCCGCGTCGTCTCGCGGCTCGCGGCGTGCGGCGTCGCGCCGTCGTCGACGGTGGGCGCGAAGCTCTGGTGGCGCCTGGCGGCGCAGCTCGTGCCCGCGGACGCGGCGAGGCCCGGCGACGCGAACCAGGCCATGATGGAGCTCGGCGCGACGGTCTGCACGAAGGCGAACCCGGCCTGCGGCGACTGCCCCGTGAAAGCGACGTGCGCGACCCACGAAAAGGGCGAGGACCCCGCGCGCTACCCCGCCGCGGAGGCGAAAGCGAAGCCCGTCAAGGTCGCCGTCGCCGCCCTCGTGCTCCAGACCGAACGCCTGGGCAAAACCGTCTTCGCGCTCGCGAAACCCGCCGGCAAAGACGCGTCCGCGTTCCGGTCCGACGCGAGCCTCTACGAGCTGCCCGCGGTGCGCCTCGGCGCGCCGGACCCGACGCCGGCGCAGCTCGACGCGGCCCTCGACGCGGCCCTCGACGGCGCGCGCCGCGGCGGCGCGCGGCGCGACGCCGAGGTCGTACTCGCGCGGACGCGCGCGGCCAAGGCCGTCGCGCACTCCATCACGAGCACGCGCTACGCCGTCACCGTCGAGCGGCTCGTGCTCCGCGCGGACCCGGACGACTTCGACGTCGTCTGGCTCGACGCGGCCGACCTCGCGACCCGGGCGACGTCGTCGCTCGTCGCCAAGGCGCTCAAGGCCGCGCTCGTCGGCGCCGCGCCCGCGAAGAAGCGCCAGGCGCCGCCCAAAGCCGCCGCGCCCAAGAAGGCGCCCAGGGTGGTGCCCATCGCGGCCGAGGCGGTGCCCATCGCGGCCTCGGCGGCCGCGCCGGCCGTTGCGACCGGGTCCCCCTTCGCGTCGTTCGCGTTCGCCCCCGACGAAGACGGGGTCGCGGCCTAAGCTCCTCCTCGGTCGCGGCCTAGGCTTACAGTCGGAAGCCCCCGTCGTCGTCCGGGTCGCCCTCGCCGAACGTCTTCTCGAGGCCGTAGGAGAGGAACGTGAGGCCCATGTGCGTCGAGAGCAGCGGGAGGATGAAGGGGTCGAAGGCGGCCTTGACGGCGATGATGATGGCGTCGTTGTCGAGGGCGTAGAGCGAGAAGACGCCGGAGAGGAACCAGAGGAAGAGGCCGACGATGACGACGAAGTTCACCGAGAGCACCGTGCCCAACACGTTTACCACGGACTGGATCGGCCCCGCGGCCGCGGCCTCGGGCAACACCTGCGTCTGCCGGAAGCGCTCGATGTCGGCCTTGAGCGCGTCGTTCTGGTCGACGGCGGGCGCACCGCCGGCCTCGTCGCCGCCCTGCGCCGCCCGGAAGCGCGCGATGTCCGCCTGCAGGTCCGGCAGGGCCTCGGCGTCGTCGTCCGCGGCCCGAAGCGCGCTTCGCGACGATGTCCGCAGCGCTGCCGCGCGCGGCGCGGTGGGTGCCACGAAGGCGCTGGCTGCGGCGAGGCAGCAGAGCGAGAGGATCGCTTTCGAGACGGCCGCCATGCTGGCGCGGATCTACTCTCGAGCCGGCGTTGCTGCTCAAGTGCCCATAGCTTGCATGCTCTCCCGGCTGGCTGCCCCCTCGTCCCCGTCGCTTGGCCAATATCCATGGGCCAGGCCTGCAGCGACACGTGCGGCGGCGAGCGCGGCGACGCCGAGGCCTTCCGCGGCCTCGACGCGCCGCAACGGGCCCTGTGCCTCAAGCTCAGCGAGGACTGCGGCCAGGCCCATCTCTTCGCCGGCTGGCGCGGCAAGCCCATCGACGAGCGCAAGCGCCTCGCCGCGGCCCTCGTCGCGCTCGACACCAGCGTCGACATCGGCGCCTACGTCGCGCGCGCGCGTGGGCTCCTCGCGGACGCCGCGGCGAGCAAGAACGCGCTCGAGGGCTCCGCCGCGTCCGTGCCGACCGACGGCGAGTTCCTCGCCGTCGGCTCGGCGCGCGCCGCGGCCATGGAAGCCCTGGGCCTGGAGAAGCTGCGGAGCGGCAAGGTCGGCTTCGTCCTCGTCGCCGGCGGCCTCGGCGAGCGTTTAGGGTACGGCGGCGTCAAGCTCGCGCTTCCCGTCGAGACGACGACGAACCGCTGCTACCTCGCGCACTACGCGGCGTTTTTAGACGCCTGGGGCGGCGCGGAGCTCGCCATCATGACCTCCGACGACACGCACGCGCGGACCGCGAAGCTCGTCGCGAAGCACGGCCTCTCGCGCGTCGCGCTCCTCAAGCAGGCCAAGGTGCCCGCGCTCGCGGACGCGTCCGCCAAGATCGCCGTCGGCGACGACCTGCTCCCGCTAACGAAGCCCCACGGCCACGGCGACGTCCACGGCTTGATGCACGCGTCGGGCACGGCGCGGCGGTGGGCGGACTCGGGCGTCGAGCAGATCCTCTTCTTCCAGGACACGAACGCGCTCGCGCTCTACGCGTGCGCGGGCTGCGTCGGCGTGTCCTGCGACCGGCGGTTGGAGATGAACACCATGTCCATCCCGCGGCGCGCGAAGCAGGAGATGGGCGCCATCGCGGCGCTCGACAAGGGCGGGACGCGAGTCGTCTGCAACGTCGAGTACAACCAACTCGCGCCGCTGCTCGTCGCCCAGGGCGGCGCCGGCGACGAGCCCGACCCTCGCACGGGCCTGAGCCCCTTCCCGGGCAACACGAACTGCTTCGTGTTGGACGCGAAGAAGTACGCGGCCAAGCTCGCGGCGACGGGCGGCGTCGTCCCGGAGTTCGCGAACCCGAAGTTCGTCGACGAGAGCCGGACGGCCTTCAAGAAGCCCGCGCGCCTCGAGTCCATGATGCAGGACTACCCCAAGCTCTGCGACGGCGCCGTCGGCTTCACGTCCATCACGCCCTGGTACTGCTACTCGCCCGTGAAGAACGCCGCCGCCACCGCGAAGAAGAACGCCGACAAGGGCGTGCCACCCGCGTGCGCGGCGTCCGGCGAGGCCGACTTCTACCGCTGCGGCGCGGAGCTGCTCAAGGCGCTGGGCTGCGCCGTCGATCTGAAGGCGAAGCCCACGGCGACGGCCGCGGGCGTGCCCGTGTCGCTCGGGCCCCGCGTGATCCTAGATCCGTCGTTCGCGACGTGCTACGCGGACCTCGCCGCGAAACTGCCCCACCCGTCCAAGATCAGGATCTCGGCGCGGTCGACGTTGCTGCTCTCTGGCGCGGGGCTCGTCGTCGAGCACCTCGTCCTCGACGGCGCGCTCCAGCTCAAGGCCGTCGACGACGGCGAGCTCGTCGTGAAGCGGCTCCGCGTGAAGAACAAGGGCTACGAGCTGGCGCCCCTCGGCGACGACGCGCCCGAGGAGCTGCGCATCCGCGGCTTCGCCTGGGCGAAGCGAGAGCAGCGCAACATTACGTCGCACGCGGGCGACAAGCTCGTCGTCGAGGAGAGCCGGCTCAAGGCCGTCGCCGCGGCGGTCATGCTCACGCCGTAAGATGCCCTAGTCTCGCACGCGGGCGACAAGCTCGTCGTCGAGGAGAGCCGGCTCAAGGCCGTCGCCGCGGCGGTCATGCTCACGCCGTAAGATGCCCTATTCTTACGCGTCCGCCGCCGCGCGGAGCGCCGCGAGGAACAGGTCGTCCGGGTCGTCGGCGGGCGCGGGCGCGGGCGCGGGCGCGTCGCCCGCGTCCGCGGCCCGGCGGTCCGCGAGGGTCTTGGTCCGCTTCGCCGCGCACTCGGCGAGCTGCGGGTCCACGGCCTGGCCCGCGTCCGTGAGCAGCGCCACGAGCGCGGGCGCCAGGGGGATGAGGTTCCGCGTGAAGAACGAGAGCGCCGTCGCGGGCTCGCCGTCGCGGCCCGCGCGGCCCACGCGGTGCGTGTAGGCCTCCAGGTTCGTCGGGAAGTCCCAGTTCACGACGACGTTCAGCCGCGACACGTGCAGGCCGCGGCTCGCGACGTCCGTCGCCACGAGCACGTTCGTCTTGCCCGCGCGGAAGTTCAACAGCGCCGCGTCGCGGTCGCGCTGCGGCAGCTTCCCGTGGAGCAGGGCCACCGTGTTGGCCTTGTAGTGGCGCTTCACGAGCTCGACGACCTCGGCGCAGGCCGACGCCGTGTTCACGAACAGCAACACCTTGGACGCCTGGCGCTTCGCCGCGTCCTCCTTCCGGAAGCGCTCGAGGAATCTCAGGAGGAGCCGCGGCCGCTTGTGCGCCGCGCAGACGTGGACCTGCTGCGTGACGTTCTTCGCGATCTTCGCGAGCGACGACCCGCGCCGCGCGGCGTCGTCCTGGGGTTTCGACGGCGGCGCGGCGTCCGCGTCCGGCGCGGGCGCGGGCGCGGCCTCGGGCGCGCGCTCCGGCGCCGCGGGCGCCGCGGGCGCGGGCGCGGCGTCGTCGCCGCCGGACGTGTTGACGCGGATCGTGCAGACGCGGTCCGGCTCGCCGACGTAGCGGTCCGCGGCGTGGCGCAGCCGCTGGGGGAACGTCGCCGTGAAGAGCAGCGTCTGCCGCTCCGATGGCACGAGGCGGCTGAGCTCGTCGAGCTGCTCCTCGAAGCCGAGCTGGAGCATGCGGTCCGCCTCGTCGACGACCCAGCAGACGACGGCGTCGAGGCGCTTCGCCGCGCCGCCGCGCGCGAGGTCGAGCAACCGGCCCGGCGTCGCGACGGCGAGCGACGACCGCGCGAGCGCCTCGAACTGCTGGGGCCGCGACGCCGCGCCCGCGCCGCCCGCGACGACGCACGCGCCGAGCTCGGCCTGGGCCCACTTCTCCGCCTTCTTCGCGACGAGGTGGACCTGGGCCGCGAGCTCGCGCGTCGGCACGACGACGAGCGCGCAGCGGCTCCTCGGGCCGCCGCCGCCGAGGACGCGGCCGATCGCCGGCAGGAGGTACGCCAGGGTCTTGCCGCTGCCCGTGGGCGCGATGGCGAGAACATCTAAACCCCGGAGCGCCGCGGGCCAGGCCTGGCGCTGCACGGCCGTCGGCGGCCGGCCCTTGAGGTGCGCGCCGCAGCCGCGCCAGAGCGGCTGGGGGGTCGAGGCGTCGGCCCAGTCGAAGGTCGCCTCCAGCGGCGCGGGCGCGCGCGCGGACCCGCGGACGACGACGCCCGCGGCCTTGCGCTCGAGCTTGACGGCGTCGAGCGCGTCGCCCGCGAGGTCCGGCGCGGCCCAGTAGCTCTCGAGCTCGAACGACGGCTTCGTCGGCGGCGGCGCCGCCGCCGCGGGCGCGGCGGCCGCCTTCTTCTTGTCCTTTCGCGTCTCCGAGGCCAGCGCTTCGAGCTGCGCGGCGCCGTCGCGCGCGACGCGCCGCTCGAAGTGCTTCTTCGACTTCTTCTGCTTGTTGGGCGGGCCGTTGATGAGGTCGCTGCTCGTGATCGTCTCCTCCTCGAGCGGCTTCTCGCTGCGCTTGCGCTTGCGCTCCTTCTTGTCTTTTTTCGGCATCGCGGCGCGCACGGATGACGAGACGAAGTGTGCGCCTCCAGACCGCCTCGCCAGAGGCAACTTCGTGTGCATCGTCGCACGTTGACGTTATCCCTCGGCGGGCTGCCTTCCAATGGTCCTCACGACGGAGTGCTTCGTCGCGCGCTGCGTCACGACGGACGAAGCCGTCGCACCGGATTGCTTCGGCTTCCGCGACGTCGATGTGCCGGAGCTGCCACCGAATGGGCTGCTCATAAAAACCAAGTTCATCGGCCTGGAGCCCTACATGCGCATCTGGGGCATCGGCCCGCAGGGCTGGGGCTTGGACAACGTCATGGACAGGGTCCCGCGGGCGAGACGATTTTCGAGAGATTTCGACCGGGAAAACGACGAGAAATTGTCACCGACGCATTTGGTAGGTCCCCGGCGGCAAGGTCGTCGGCGAGGTCGTCGCCTCCGAGAGCGAGCGCTTCGCCGTCGGCGATCTGGTGAAGACGTCCGCGCAGTGGCGCGCGCCGGTCACCTGGGTCGTCGCCGACGAGAAGACGCTCGTGGAGAAGCTCGACCCGACGGTGGAGCCGCGCATCTACCTCGGCCTCGCCGGCTCCGGCGGCCGGAGCGCGAAGCTGCCCCTCGAGCGCGTAGCGCGGCCGTCCGCGGGCCAGGTCGCCGTCGTCACCGCGGCGGCGGGCACCGTGGGCCTCGCCGCGTGCCAGCTCATGAAGCTCGACGGCGTCGACGTCGTCGGGACGGCGGGCACGGACGAGAAGAAGCGCCTCATCGAAAGCCTGGGCTGCAAGGCCTTCAACTACAAGACGGAGGCCGCCGCCGACGCGCTGAAGCGCCTCGCGCCGAAGGGGGTCGACTTTTTGTTCGACAACGTCGCGGGCGCGATCCGAACCGCCGTCGTCGAGGCCATGAACCCCGGCGCGCAGATTCTCACGAGCGGGCGCATCGCCCAATACGACGCGGCGGGCGGCGCCGCGGGCGGCGACGAGGCGCGCGACGCCGCGATGATCCGGGAGAAGAAGATCGCGGACCACGGCCAGTTCTACGTCGGGAACTGGGAGAGCGAGTTCGTCCCCTGCACCGAGGCCATCGTCGCGCTCTACAAGGCGGGCAAGCTCGTCTCGAAGGACACGGTCTCCGAGGGCTTCCGGAGCCTCCCCGACGCGTTCGTGGGCATCTTCCTCGGCCGGAACGTCGGCCGGATGGTCGTCGCGTGCTAAAGGGTTAGTTGCCTTCAACGAGCCCTTCAAGCGACTCGTGTCGCGACGTCGGGCATTCCGGGTCGTCTCACTGCTCAGATAAGCGATCTCACTGCTCAGAGTCCCTGTCGCTGCTCACGTGCGTGATCATGGTCGCGCCGACTGACAACGACCAGGGCGCGGTGCGGCTCGAAGGGTTGCAGCTCGGCGACGGCCGTCCCTCTGGCAGCGTCGTGCGGTTCGACAAGAAAAAGTTCTACGGCTGGATCGAGCCGGACGATAAGCGCCTCATCAAGCCGGACGGCGGCGGCGAACACCTCTACGTCCACGGCAGCGACGTCCGCGAGCCCATCGCCGCCGGCGACCGCGTGCTTTTCGAGATCGGCCGCTTCCGGGGCCGCGACAAGTGCGTCAAGGTCGTCAAGGTCGGGGCGTGCGCTCCCGCGCCGGCGCCGACGAGGAAGCTGCTGACCAAGGTGAGCTCATTGAAAGATGACGGCACCTTTCGCGCGAAGGTCTTCAAAGCGAATGGCGACAAGAAGCCAATACTCCATGAGGAATTGCGCCCGATACGTGTAGAGGGCAACTACTTCGACAATCCGCTTCCATGCGAGAAGATCCTCCTCGAGGAGCTCAAGCGCCGGGGCGCCGCCGCGCTGCCGCCGTCGTTTGAGGGCGACCAGGAGAATATGGCGAAACGTGTCGCGCGTCACCGTTCCGCGAGTCACAGCCGTTACGAGCCGGACGGGAGCAGTTTTCTCTCGACCGCGCGGCTCCTCCTCGTCGGCGACGTGTTTTCGCTGCGGGCCGTGTGCGCGGCGGCGCGCGCCGCCCGGGGGGAGGGCGCCTTCCGCCGCGCCGGCCTGCTGACTCGCAAGGCGGCGGCGCTGAGCGACCAACAAGGGGACGCGTTCCACTTCCTGGCCGCGGTGCCCGTCAACGCGTTGGCTGATCTCCTTCGCGCACAAGTCATCAAAAATAATGCGCCACAACAGAGGCTTCCACCTTGGGCGCAGGACGCCCGCCGCAATATGATCGCTTGCATCCGTGAGTCTGGTGTCGACCTTGACTTCTCGTTCGATATCGAGCTCCACGGCGGCGCGTTTCCGGGAACTCTCAAGAAGTCAAGTGACCCGGACATCGAGTTCGTCGATCCGGCGACGGTTCCGAGCGTGCGCTGGCTCCGCGACGCCGGTGACCACGGCCCCGTGCTCGAAGGGTTCTGGACGCGCGACCTGTACGTGCTCGTCGGCGGCTACGACGACAGCGACCATCCGAAGCAGAAGTATCGGCGCGACCGGTACGAGCTCACCTTTCCCGGCGGCAAGCGCCACCTCGGCGAATCTGGCCTGACTTGTGCTCTCCGTGAGGTGCGAGAGGAGACGCTGCTCGCGCTTCAGCCAGAGAACTACCACGCGGACCCGGCGGAGGCGAGCCTGACGAAGGTGAAGATGCGCTTCAATTACGACTTCGGCCCGTACCACATCGTCGCCTCGGTAGCCGGCGCCAACGGCCACCCCAAGCTCCCAGCCTGGGAGGCCCCGGCGCCGGTGGCGCACGCGGCCGCGGCCCCGGCGGCCGCGGCGCCTGACCTTTGACCTCGTCCCCGCAAGTTCCACCAGATGCCTGGCGGCTGCCGCAACATTTGGCGCGAACTTTCGCGACACGAGAACCTGGAGCCGTAGAGTCTAGTCGCGCAGTTAACTAAGAAACGCCGTCCTCGGCCGCCTTCGCGAAGATGGCCGCCCAGGCGCCCGGCCGCGAACCGGCGAGCGCCGCCGCGACCCGGGCGCGCCGCGCGCGGTCGCCCGTCGGCGGGCCGAGCTTCCCCGGCGGCGGCTTC